TGTGTAGTTTTGTGCTTAATTACAAACAAGCTTTATTATTCTCAAAATTTATTTTTGAAAATTTAATACGTTAAAGGTGCATTTTGTCACCTATTCTTAATGTGATATACAGATAACACTCTTTTTGTGCTCCCCCCGGTAGCTCAGTGGTAAAAGTCGAGGTGCAATTCCTGCAGTAGACACGCGCAGATAACCCATTAAACAAGAAAACAAAAATTATTTTGCTGGGGGTATATTCTGATTGCAGCTGAAAACTGCGACATACCAATTATTTTCCTTAACAATAATGCTTTAATTAAGAAAAAAATGTTTCATTGAATAAAAAAGGGTTTCCTAATTAACATGTAGATTACGTGCAGATGTGTATAAAGTAAATATTGTATATTCCGTTCATGTATTGTTTCTCTTTTCGTTGGGTACAAGACACAAGAAGAACAAGTGGCTAGTTACTCTCCAGGTTTATGTTAATTTGGTTATTTCAGTTAATTCGTAGAACAGTGTAGGTAATTACAAAAAATTGACCTGAAATCTACCAGATACTAATTTTGGCACTGTTACAAAACTATATAAAAATAACACACATAAACATATATAACAGCAATTCGAAAGATGCATACGTATTTTTAATACATACGTAACAATACCAAATAGTCAAACAACAATGGTGATAATAAAAAATGTATGTATTGTACATTAAGGATATTATGTTTAACTGTACACTCTACGTAATGTTGGGAACGACATGTCACAAAAACATAAGCGTTCTTCTTCTCAATCTACATACTTTCCTGTATTATTAAAGAAGAGTTACAGTAAAAATATCGTGATCAGATCAAAAAAGTCCTTGTAATCTGCACGAAACGAGGCTCGTGGAACAATATACGTCATTACATAAGCAATAATGATATTTATACAAAAAATATAACAGCTTAAGTTGTAAATCTTGGTATTCTTGAATGGTGTGATGAAAAAGAAAAACTGAATCTGTGAAATTAACTTGAAAAGATACTAATACTTATGTAATAACTCAACCTGTGTTCTTTTAGAATCTCGTGTTTTTGAAACAGATTATTCAAAACAACCTGTTTGTTGTACGCCCACAAAGGTGGAATATGAAAAGGTCATGCAGTAGAAATGTTTGATCAAGGTTTTTAGAACAAAAAACTAGAACAGAGGAAAATAGACTATCTTATCCCCATACTTGTCAAGGATTTAAGGTACCCATGTAGGAGGAAATTTTAAAGAATCCGCCTAGAGTGTTAGTGTATCAACATCGTGTGTAGAGATACCATCCTAACTTATTGGATGACACCCACATCTATACCCCATGGCCTGTGAGTCACATTCTTTTCAAGTTTCATGAATACAGTTGGCACCAGCTACAGAAAATATTTGAAATGTTTTATTTTTCTCTTTTTACGCTTATGAAATGGTTTGGGCAAATATTCAAGGTTCTTTTCTACAGTATCTATGAGAGAAAAGTCAACTACGTGCAATCTCTTGATGAAGAAAAACAACCCAGTAATTTCAGGATGAGTCAGGATGTTATCCATTCTTTCATTGTCTGTTAGCCCCCCAGTTGCACAGCGGTATGTCTGCGGACTTACAACGCTAGAATCCGTGTTTCGATACCTGTGGTGGGCAGAGCACAGATAGAAAATTTTATATAGCTTTGTGTTTAATTACAAACAAACAAATCATTGTCTGTAACAGGGCTCCATCCCAAAGACTGTTTTGTTCTTAATTCTTTAATTCGAATATTGCTTTCCAATTTGGAAATCAACTAAGCTCTTCTAACTTTCATTTTTATTTCAATGCACATAGTATTTAATTAACATCAACTTGTTTAGTATTTTGTTTAGTTTCAGACTCGGTCACTCTAATAAGACATTATTGTAAGCTATATTTTCAATTGCTTCACTTACATATTAGCTAGAGGCTGCATGACGTTAAGATCGAGGAACTTCAACTAATATCTAGACATGGATACATTAGTTATAAATTTGAGTAAGCAGTTAGTTAATTATTTCATTAAAGTATTTAAGAGAGAATTTAGTGACGTATTCAATGAGTGTTTCAGTTGTATTCTGCTATTCAGTTACTCGGCGAAATACGTGTTTATTTTTCAATAAAAGTTAAATAATTTGGGCGTAGGTACCATTAGTGAGGAATTTCTATTGCAACGTTGTTTGTGAGCTTAAGCCTACAACTTGTATAAAAGTGAACGTAGCCTGTAGCAAACGTTAAATAAGAAATAAATGAATTCATTATCGTTACCTGAACTGGACTTCGCAATATTTTTACCAAATAATCAAAATAAGAACGAAGCCGCCGAACGAATAAAAAACGTTACAGCAATAGTATGGTAGTCTGACAAGAGATACAGTTTTTAACACAGATATGGTGGCAATAATGATTTACATACCTCAGCACAAAAACACGAGATACCCATTAGAAATGCTACCAGTCTACTTAAACTCAATCATATTTTTTTCTTCAAAACTTTTAATTGTACGATAGTTAGTGTATTTTGCTTGTAATATATTGTTTTAATCTAGCTAACTTGCAATATTTTTATGAAATTCCTTATGTTTCACAGCATCAAATGCGTTTGACAATAACTAAATATATAACCTCAATTTGTATGTAGGCACAATGCATCTGAAAAGACAACTAGCTGTTCATCGTCTCAAGGCTATACATACCACATAAGGTTTCATGCAAAAACGTGATTTAATCACTTAATGTCATTTCCGGTCTCAGGCTCATGCGATTGAGATTAAAACAAAGAAATGTCCTGCCACATTTCAATATCGTTGACCACTTTTTCATTATGTTTGTTTTCACACTTAGTCATCAGAAAATATGAAATACGGATTTTTAGTCAAATGTTGTATAATTTAACAATCACTCAAATAACAATACCGTTTTAATCGAACAAACGTTAACTTTAATTTTTATATACCGAATTTATGCTGAAATATGCAGTTGTGCAAATCATATGCAAAAAACATATTCATCTATTCAGCTTACAATATTGTTACGACAGCGGAAGTCACGCGACGCTGGGAGCATGCGCGCTGGAGTTTCTCGAAGAATCATGAATTTTCCTGGCAACTCTTGTTTGTTCGAGGCGCCCTCTTTTTCAGTATATAAGCCTGGCGAGAAAAACCAGTGCGATTGAAGAGATATAGATAGATCGAAGAGCTTGAGTGAAGAGATAGATAATTGAGTCAAGCGAACAGTAGGCACGTAAGTAAAGTGTGTGTGAATCGCTGTAATTTATAGCGTGTGTTATAAAGGTTGTTAAGTTTAGAGTGACTGTGGAAATTCTGTGTATTACAAAGTTGTATCGAGAAAGAATAAACTAGTTTTAATTAAGAAAGGACTTGTATCGCTGAAGTTCCTCAGAAAGAATTTATACTGGAGATTAACAAACGAGCAGAGACATAACAATATACTGTAGCAAAATATTGTCCTATTAACACTGGAATAAAACAAAAACATCAAATGTTCGTTACGATTCCTTATACTCTAGTAAGTGGACTATCTTTATTGACTTAAAATCTAAAAGAATTAATGTGTGACCTTTCGGGCATTTCACCAGACCTACCCTACTCGTGTGGTCCACAGCTTACACGCACCTCTGTATTTAGTTTTATAAAAATAAGATTTATCCAATTTCGGTGCCAGTATCACTGAGGCGAGTAAAAGTCATTCAAACGTTAAATACTTCACTTACTAATTCATAAACGTTAACAAGCTTTGATATCGTGATTCCCAATACGGAAACTCATTTATCAATCAATTTAAATCCTTTAAAGATCTAACCAACCAATGAAAATGATAAATTTGGAACTCGACACAACTTACATTTTCTAAGAAATTGTAGTTGGGAGTCATTGTTGAGAGTTTGTTTGTTTTGTATTGTTCGATCCAGGTTTTGAATTAATCCCTGAAAACTTCAAGTAAAACGCAATAAACAGAAAACAATGTCTAGCAATAGTGATTGTTGTTCCAAATAATAGTAATCTACGATGTTTATAAATTTTTGCAATATTTCTAAATAATAATAATAATAATAACGTTGTACTTAATACATAAATAATATTAATTGATATGTACGTTATTGATTCCATAATGTTTTAAAGCTTTTTTTAACACAAACAAGTGCTTTCTTGACGCATATTCGCAACATAGATATATTTTTCATCGTATTTTAGATCTTATTCAATAGAAATGAATTATTGTATATTTTTATGGATTTTCTTTTTATTTCACAAATAAGCCACTCAACGCAACTCTCTCGGTATTTCCACACGGAACTAGTGTTCACCCTCGTATTGTAAAGGATTCAATATCAAGTGTCTCGGCCTGAGTTAAGGGACTACTAACAATAAACACTGCTTTTCTGTGGATGCCAGACTCCTTCGCAAAACAACTTACACGTGTTACAGGTATTCATAAGACTGCTCACAAGATATTCAGACTTGTCTGGACAACGACCTCTACTTCGTTGCTCGCAGACTGCACATTATTTCAGCTTCATTAGGGTCCAGTAAGGTACGAGACAGATAATATGATCTTCTCTCAACTTAAGCCTGATCCCATGCAGCATTGCCCCTTACGCAAAGGGTGAAAAACGTGACCGTACTATGACGTAACATTGTATGGCCGCAGTCTCTGACGGAATGATGTTTCAAAAGGTTATTTTGTAGAGTATAAAAACAAAGGAAAGATAACAAAAGCAATAGCTGAGTTTGACAGATTTTAAGTAAAATATTAAACCCAAGAAAAAAAGAAGATACAATCAGAAAAACGTAATCGTTATTGCCTACAAAAATATCTAGTTTACATTGACACGTATTAATAAATGCAGTTGATGCTTTGAATCTCTGGAGCAGCCATGACACAATATAAACTTCCTCAACTTAATATATTGTCTGGAACATCATTTTGTAATGTAGGGTGTTTTGTAACAACAGGATGAGCTGTAATTATTCTATTATTCCAATTCGAGGTGTATGACGTAGAAATATAGAGAAGGCAATTAAACGAAGCCTTTCTAAATGCTCTTTTCACTTGGATGAGCTACGCACGTCTATATTTTTATGCGTTTGCCATCCATATTTTATTTCCAAAGCATTATAAAATATGAACTCACAAATCCATAACATATATATTCTAACCAGTCTCTTGCATTACCAAGAATACAAAAATACTGCTCATTTCTGCTGTGCGAAAGAAGAACCTGTTTTTGCAAGACTTACGAAACCTTTTAAAATATGACCATGGAGTTTTCCCACTTATATTCCCCTTTTCATCCCCAAATATTCAATGTAAACTACGTTTAACTAGTGAAAAAAAAAAGAAAACCTTGGGAGAAAAGAAGGATTTAAATTTTAAATATAGTCGAGATATATTGAAACGGTTTTTATTCTACTAGTATTGTGTTGTTTTCGTCTACAGTAGTCTGACTCACCGATAACAATCTTTATGAGCTGGGAATCTTGAAATACTACTGATTTTAGTTTTATTCTGAGAAGTAATAATATATGACGTAGTGAAAACAATCATATGTAAAATGTGAGAAAGCATTTACGTCAGCTTTACAAATCATATATACGTGTACCTAACCATCAATATCAAGCTAAACAACAACTCTGGTCTCGTCTAGTTAATATTTTTACATGTTTAAAAAAGAAAGACAGTAGAATTCGTTATTGTTAATGTAGACTTATAATGGTATTTATCTATATTAAAAACTGCGTTAAAACATAAATAATAGATTTATTAAATATATCAAATACAAGCATCACATATATACATTTCAATTAATTCAAGCTACTCAGATTTAAAAGTTGACGCTACTTATAAATTAATTCACATATCGAGTGCACATGTAAATATATATATAAACAGTACAGTTAGTGCCTCACAAATATCAACTCATCCATTCAGTTCTATTTCAAGAGCACGTGACTAACTGACTTTGTTTGTAAACACTTATTAACCCATAGATGAATTACATTTAATGTTCTTTACATTGACTTTTAACCTAACAAACTGTGGGGCATGTGACAAATAGCCATTCACCTAAGTTTGACAGACCGGATACTAACTAGTTATTGTATGATCATAGTAACAGACGTATAGCACTGAAAACTGTACTAAAAGTGTAACGACTCAACTGATTAGTATGAAAATGATACAACATGATGCATAAAATTGTTTCACATTTTTACCCCAGAAATTTAAAACATCGTGTAAGTAAAATCATAAACCATGTTAATTATATATATAATATATGGATCGTTTGTGATATAACCAGACCTTATCATGTTAGTTAGTAGTATTACCAAACTCTGGCTAAGCTACCAAACTGTGTTATTGTCTAACCCCCAAAAAATAAAATCATGGATTATGTTTGTCTTATAGAAAATGTCTATTTTACGTGTGCATTTATTTGAGTAATTCACTAAAGTTTGGTGAATAATACAGTACAGTATAATATGGTTTACTTACTGGATTCAGAGAGAAAATAATGCATGAAATCATTCCACAATCTTTACCATTTTTGTTTTTTTTTCTAATTGCTAAAAATTACTATTTAATACGAGATATTTTGCAACAAAATCCTTTGCATGCATGTAAGTAGATTTCACGTATAGCTCGTTTGTTTTGTCTTTATATCTTCTTCTCAGGACGAAAGAATCACGACACCATAATTGGCTGTGGGACCCTTTCTCTACACGGTAAAATAACTTAAGAATAATTCTAGTCCTGCTTTAAAGCAAGTTTTCCTAGCCTGTCTCATGCTACGCAATCGTTTTTAACTGAGTCATGAATTCTTACAATGGATGTCTTTGAATAATTCAGGTTTGTCCAAATGTTTTCAAATAAAAAGTTTAGAATATTTTCATAAAATTCTCATTCGCTCAAAAGTGTGATGTAAGTCCTTGAAGATTTGTCACGAATGGTACGCATATCAGAATAATTACCTAGAAACATTCTGCTATACCTAAATGTTGACAGAGCAATGTTTCTATCTTCTCATTATGACTATCTTGCATCATTTATAGATTTTGGGCCAAAGGAACAAAATAGCCAATAATTGACAAACAACTACTGCATACAATGGCAAAATCACATACTCCAGTATTTATATAAATTACTTTCTGAGATTTCCTCTAACCGTTTTTATTACTTTCATAAAAGTTCAGAAAACAGTCAGTTCTAAGTCTTTGTCTGTAACAAATGAACAGCTTCGCTAATGCACAGAACCTTGTTTTACTAAAAGAATTATTTTTCTAAAGGACGAATACTCTTGCTGATAATATATATATATACATTAATCGCAAAGAGTTTTCAAAAGCTCTAAGCAACCTGCTTTAAATTCAGTAAGGCTTTTCATAAGTAAACTGCTGTAGATTTAAGCAATAAATGCGATTTGATGATAACCCAATAGCTTTGTTTTTCGAGAACGTTTAAGAAAAGAAATTTAATGGAAAAAAGAGCAATAATCTATAATGTGTATTTAATTTGAGAAATTACAGAATACAAGTGGGACGTCGTACAGGCTCAGCATATATGTATTGTTGTCATACAAAACTACATAATGGGCTATCTTCACACAAACCAACACGGGAATTGAACCCCGGATTTTAGCGTTGTAAGTCGGGTAACTTACTGCTGATCCACCGGAAAGTAACATATGTAGTTATGAAATACATAATTTCGTAATCAAATCACACTAATAATGACACAGTTCGCATTCATAAAATACATAAATTAAACAAATAAATGACACGTGCGATAGGATTAACTACAAGTGGTGTTGTTACCAGTTCGTTGTATTTGTATATCTAGCAGGATGTTAAGTAAATCACCATTTAATGGGCTTACAGTACAACAACATAGTTTGTTAGCAACATTGTAAAATAGGTTCTTCTTCCATATAGACTACGCATAATAACATAAGCTTGTTATTGATATATTTAGGTGTCTGTTTTTACAAGCAGGCATCCATAATAGGGCTAGTTTCATTTCAACATATAATAATTTGCTATTGATTTGAAAGGTCAGCTCTATGTGAGCTTACAAAAAGTTATTTGCGAAAGATATGTGCAAGGGGAGCTACAATGTGTTGTCTAACCACTGTTGGATCAACCCCTCCGGACAAACACACGTACTCACACATGTGAAGAAAGAATAATGTATAGCTTGCTTACCTTATGTGGGGCTTGTAATATCCGATGGACTGCGGTAATCTGGTTTATCAGAGGGATGTTCACATTAAATGAATAATGAGGTGGTCTCGCTGGCTCAGGAAAGTTTGTTGTCGCTGTGAAAGGGTCGATATCATTCAAATACTGCACTCTGCACGTCAGACATGCCATATCGAATGCACAGTTTGTGAAACTGACTAACGACGCGTTCCACATGCGAACAGCTAGCGACAGATCAAGAGAGCATGCGCAGTGAGTGTTTAGTCCGGTATCTGATGCCCACCTTGGCGTTAAGCTACCTCCCGTTTCACTTGCCACTTTTTCATCCAGTAGAAAAAGAGACGGGAGGGACGAAAAGGGGGATAAGTACTACAAGTTTGAAGAGCGAAGGAAGGTTTAGGGGAGAGTCATAAATGAGTCAGACTGTACTATTTGGCAGTATTAGCACCTTTCAAGTATAAAGTTACTATTTTTTTCTTT